TATCATTATATTAAATTTTATTTAAATATTTTAAATAATTAAAAAAGTAGATCAGAGACATATTTATAGTAATTATGTAGGCAAATTTGTCTGCAAATCTCTACCAATTAAGAGATAGAAGTTTATTATCTCTCTGCTTTTAAACCATTCAAGTAGAGTTTTCCCTAATCCTTAATTTTACAGCCTGTATTACTGGTATCTAATTTTGTATTACATATTGTATTAAAACTCTGAGTATGCTTATGTATGTGTCAATCTTATTTTTACATATTTCTTGTACTACTATATGTTGCACCTCCTTGTTAATTTTTTTATCTGCTAGTGGCAAATATATTACCTATATCTGTATGATTGCTTTTTTAAAGAAAAACTCTAACTTTATCGCATATGGATTGTATCTTCTAACTATAGCTAAATGACTTGACCAATTCTTACTAACTAAAGCCTCTATTTCTGACCCTTTTAACTTATCTACTTCTTTTGTTGACCAAAAGCTTGTATACCCAAATTTTTCTACGTCTATCTATCTACCCTCTTCCTCGTTTATATTAGTTTCTGCCATTCCGATGATGTCCAAACTCTCTTCTTTATCTAAAGCTGCTAAATTCCTTAATTTTTGCCCATTCAACTTTAAACTATTTATATTATGAAACCCTAAACTAAACTGCCCGTAGCTATTACTCTTTATTTTTCTATTTGAATCCTTACATTGTTCTTGTGTTTTGGGCACTCTTAAGACAGAAGTGAGGATTTCTGCTATACCCATATTGCTTGATTTGCCCGTGGTGCCTTTCAGGAACGCATTGCAATTATTTGCTCTATTGCTTTAAACTTGTGTCTCATTTCTGCAAGAATTTCCTCTAACTCGTTTGCTTCTTGCTTTTTAGTTTTCTTTTCTTTCTGATCGGCGATTGAAAATCTATTTGGTCCTGTTGCAAGTTCTAATTCCTGAGGTAAATTTATATTATCTATATTGGCGAGGGGCTTTCTAGTGCTACTTCTGGCTCATGTACTACTTCTTTCGCTATTTGTAAAGGTTCTATTGGTGTGAATACTCTTTTTTGAGCTCTGATTTCTATTTGCCTATTGCTTGCATATATGATATTCACTTTTATATATGCTTTTTTTTGTATATTCTTTCCTCTCTTGATTCTCTTTATTATCGACAAGGCAATTCTCTTTATAACGAAGATTATAATAATATGGATTTGTTGATTTTGCTTTTTGTAAATCTAACATTGATGCAAAATATGTAAATGCTGCTTCTTTCTGATTGCCATTTCTGTTGTCTAGTATATGTATCATTTTTACTTTGAAACTTCTAAGCTAGCGAAGTAATGTTGCTTCATATACATTATGTGGCACTCCTCTCAATATAAGTTTGAATTCGTTTCTGAGCCCCAATTCTCTTTTGTTAAATCTGCCGCTTGTTACTCTTACTGTTTTTTCCATTTCATAGTGAATTGCCCAAGTATTCATAAGGAGATGCTTTTTTTTCTTATTTGTATATCTAACTCTGACATAAGCAGCTTTACGTTCTGCTGAGATACACCACTCAATGCTTTCTACAAATCCATATGTTTTCAAACACCTTTTTATATTTCCTGTTCTTGCTGATACAGGTAGGTCCTATATGGTTAGATTTACTTCCTTGTGAGAGTCTCTTTTCTTGTTGTTTTTGAGGTTTTCTCCTAATATAATTTCTTGTTTAGAGCTATTCTTATGTGCCCATATTGATTTGTTTATATCTTTACTTCTATTTAGAGTATTATCCTCTTCTGTTTTACTCTCTTTTTCATTTAATTCTTCTTTTTTCTTAACTATACTTATCCATTTTTTTACTTCTTGTATTGCATGATCTTCTTGTCCAAACTCAGTATAAATTAACATTGCTTTAGTTTCTGCATCTTCTGTATTATCTTTTTTTAATACTTCTATTTCACTCTTATTAAGGTTCATTTCCGCTAATTTTAATAAAACTGTTTCTTCTTTTTTTCTAGCAGTTAAATCTTCTGCATTATCTGCTATTTTACATTTCCTTTTTAAAGTTTCTTCTCGGATATTTGGTTCTTTTTCTTTTATATCAAGTTTCATTTTTGTTGTAGTATAGAGTATTTCTAATCTTTTCTCCTCACTTAGATTAAGTCTTTCTTTTTTCATACTTGTTGTAATCTCAGTTACTTTACCAGTGAGCACTTGTTTCTTGATCAACAATTTTTTATCCTGATTAGCTTTACACAATGCCCATTTATGAGTTTCGATTGTGCTGTAAATTGTTGTTATAAATGCTGGGTCTTGATACCCAAGTTATCTTGCTACATTTTGATCTATATTTAATATAAATTTACTTTGCTCTGCAAGTATTTCTTGTTGTTTACTCTGTGATGCCGAGGCAAAATCTTTAATCAGCATTAGATCCATATGTTCAATATTTGATTATTATATCTGCGCTATGTATATGTTGTGTGATTATCTTTTCGAAATTTCTAGAATACACTTTTGTTTTGCTATAAGTGAATATGTGATGAATTGTTTGTTTGTTTGTTTGTACACATGTTGTTTGTTTGTTTGTTTGTTTATTTGATTATGCGTCTTATAGTGATCTGCAATTCAGAGTCTAGGTGTGTTTCCAAAAAAAACAGAAAAAAGTTTTTCAAAAGTAGTTTTTTAGAAGAAATATGTTTTCAACCAAAAAAGATTCTAATGCTTGTAATAAAAACTTTGTTGCTGTTCTAACAAAGTATATATATTTTTAGGTGCCCTTCCTTTTTACTTAGACGACTTTGTATTGTTTTCTATATCTAAAAGTGTTTTATAACTAATTTTCCTTTTAGCACAATTTGGTGCAAATGATTAGCGAATAGAGTTGACTATCGTCGAAAAGAGCTTTGTGATTATTTATATTTTTTGGTTTAGTAAAAATGTTAAATAAGAAATTATAAATTTTATTACATAATTTATTATTTAATTAATTTTAAATAAAATAGAATTTTCTTTTTTTAGTATTATTTCACTTGACCAATAAAAATTAAACACATGACAAACAAAAAAATATAAATATGGCTTTTATATTTGTGTTTTTTTAAAAAGATTAAAACAAAATGAGAAAACAAAATAATAATTTATTTCATAATAAATTTTTTTTTTTTTTAACTCTTTGACAGTCTTGTCAAAGCTTGAATACAAAAACTTTATTTATTTAATCAACAATAATAAACTATTCCAACTAAACTAAGCCTTAAAAATTACAAGCTAGACATTTTCCGGCTGCAGAAACTGTGTCTATGAGCGATTTGTCGCACTATCTTGTATACAAGTTGGATAGACCTTGTCAGCCCGTTGAGAGCTAATCCCTTCAATTTTTTTTTCTTTACTGAGAGCAAAAGAAAGTAGTAATTTTATACTATTGTTACAAAACTACCAATCATAAAACAAAAAGAAAACTATATCTAATAACAAAACAAATTAAACAAAAGAGAAATTTTAAAGGAAAAAAAGGGGGAAAAGGACATGTAAAAAAAGAAAAACAAAGAAAAAAGCCAAGAAAGCTGACAAAGTAGGTGCTGCCTCTATCAAGAAGTAGCCAAGCAACTCAAAGGTTGCCATGAACAAGACAAATGCACTGTTATAACCTGTGCCAAGTTATAATAAAAATTTTATAACAATTACAACCGTTGTATATTTCAATTATGAAACAAAACTCTAATATATACCCTTTGACTAATAGCCAAATTTCGATATCTCTTTAACCTAAGACCCCCGATCCAAGTCACGTGGAATAGTGCTGTATCTTCTAAGTAAACAAGACACGTTGGTTGTAATCATACCGAGTCTGTCTAAATTTGGATATAAACAATGCCGATCTTTTGGAAAAGGTAAGCCAAATCCCCACTTTTTGTCGAAATTTTTTGGAAAAATGGCAAGAAGTCGAAAATAAGTAGTAGAAGAATCACTTGAGCCAAGAAAAAAGAGTGCGGCTTCAGAGCAACAGATAATTTGTTGTTTTCCCAGTGTTCTTCTTCGAAGTAACGATCTAAAAGCTTCGTTGATGACGTCAGCCCATTTCTGAACCACCTGCCACCAAGATTTTTTATACAAGGGCATCCCCTGCCAGTTATCTTGCATAATAACGCTCTTGGCTTGCATGCCAAATGTCCCTTGTAGAGGAGTCCCCCGTAGTAGTAGGTTGACCTCTAGATAAACCACCAGTAGACCACGACACTCCAACAAATTTTTTTGTTTTTCGTTAGTAGGAATTTCGGTCCAAGTAATCATCGAAAAGAGTTTATAAGCTATAATATTGTGATTTCATAATAAATTACATATGTATTTAAATTTTAATACTTATTATTTTGACTGAGAAAAATTTGATGAGCTTATAAAAAATTTTTTTGATAATCAAAAAACATATCTATTCAAACATTTTGTTTATCAATATGAAAGAAATTATAATGCTAAAAACCAGAAACTGAATTGTCATATTCAAAGATTTTTTCATTTAAAAAATCAAATGCAAATTGGTAATTATAAGTTGGCTGATAGTAATTAGAAAGAAAATTAAAAAATTATTACAAATTGATAAGATTCATTTTGATTTTGTTGCTAGTGATAAAGATTCAATTCTTTATTGTAAAAAGAAATACAACAAATGTTCAATTCATAATCATATAATAGTTAAATATGAAGACTATTCTCATTTTTCAAAGGAAGAATTTACAAAAAATATGATTACTATAGATTCTGGAAAAAATCATTTAGCAATCTGTCAATACAGTTATAATGATTTGAACAATTTTTCTAAATGTGTTTGGTGCAATTTAGAATGTTGTTTTCAGAGAACATTGGCTCGTTATGATGAAAATTCAGGCCCATTCGATTACTCAGATGGAAAAATTTATAAAGCTAGTAATAAAATTGGAAACAATCAATTTATTAAAAGAACAAACAACAACAGCAAAGAAATAATAGAAGATCTATTTGAAAAATGTTTGACAAGTGATAAAGTAATTGTTAAACATAAACCAGAAAATAATTAATGGTTTAATATGAATTCTTCTCATATAGATAAAGTTTACAAGGCTATTGAAAATATAGAAAAGCAAAAAAAATCATTTGAAAAATATTGAAAACTCTGTAATATCTATATATATGGGTCTGCACATATAAGAAAATTATATTTGTTGAATATTTTATTTTTAAAAGCTTATAAAAAAGTAGTAAAAGATGAGAAATAGTAGGATAATTTTAGAGAACAAGATATTGTCATTATTAATGAATTCAATAGTTTATTTTCAAATAGCAAAAATTATTAGATATTTTAGATTGTGAAAAACAATTAGTACAAATAAAAGATTCTCATATCAATTATACAGGTTCAATAAATATATAAAGGATACATATCGATATCCCTTTATTATCCCGATATCTATCCTTTATGTATCTATTTTTAATCTGATTTTCTACTGTTTTTTGGCAGATGTATAGTAACATAAAGGATAGGTATTAGTATATCATATAAGATAAATATAAGATAAATAAAGGGTATCTGTTAATATCCCAATATCTATCCTTTATATGATAATTATATATCTGTTTTGTTGCATATTTTGAAATTATAAAAGATAGATTTTGGCATATTGAAAATAAATATTAGCTAAATAAAGAGTATCTCTTTATGTCTCGATATCTATCCTTTATATATCTATTTTTAATTTGGTTTTCTACTATTTTTTGGTGAATATATAGTAACATAAAGGATAAGTATCGGTATATCATATAAGATAAATATAAGATAAATAAAGGATATCTGCTAACATCCTAATATCTATTCTTTATTTATTTATAACATCCTGATATTCATCTTTATATAATCAATTTTATAGAGTATCGGGATGAATATCAGATAAATTATAGAAGAGTATTGGGTTAATTATAGATAAATATTGGGTAAATTATAAAAGAGTATCAGGTTAATTATAGAAGAGTATCGGGTTAATTACAGAAAAGTATTGGGTTAATTATAGATAAATATCAGGTTAATTATAGATGAATATCAGGTTAATTATAAAAAAGCTGAATACAAATACAATATAATACTATTATTTTATTTACTATTACTTGTTTATATATATATAAATATAAAATATAATATTTTTATTTATTATGCAGAATATTATATATTTATATATTATAATTAAACATATAAAAACAATTATTTAATGTTTTGCTTTTTTGCTAGATCTAGAACCACCTTTATTATTTGAACGACCTCTACTATAACGTGGTCTAACAGACCTTGTGATATGAGTATCGGGACCATGCCCGGCAGATTCTAAATTGTAAAATAAATAATAATAAGCATCAATATAAAAGATTAAAATAAATCAAATATTAGTAATATGAAACTATCACTAATACAATATAATTAATATCTTGTGAATTATTATAAAATTCTATATTTTCGTATAAGGTATTGAAAAAATGAAAATTTTATTAACATAATAATTCATATACTAGTTACAATAACAAATATATTATATATTTACCTTTACTAACGGCTTTGTTCATATTGGCATTATTTGCATTATCGGCATCATTATTAGTAACAACCACTTCACGATTTATAACAAAAAAAAAAAATTAGATTGTACAAGAAATGACTATTAGAATTTATAGTAAATCCATTACCAGATTTTGATATAGAAGAAGTTTTTCCAGATTTTTTTGTATGAGCATTTGCATTACCGTTTTTTTTTGGAGGTAGAGGAGAATTACCAAAACCAGATATAGTAGCAGCAGCAGCAGCAGCATTACTGAATTTCTTTTTAGGGGCAAAAGAATTGTTAGATTCTTTTGAGGAGAAATTTGGGAATTTCTGAGTGTTGGGGAATTTTTAGCCGATGGGAAATTTTTGGGCAATGGAGAATTTCTGGGCGATGGAGAATTACCAGGCGATAGGAATTACCATGCAAAGGAGAATTACTATGTGAAGGAGAATTACTGGGTAAAGGAGAATTACTAGGCAGATAATTACCAGAAGACATTGCCGGGATATTAATATCAAGTACACTACTGATATTAATATCGTGTATATTGCCAGAAGAGATTGCTGGGATATTAATATCGGGTGTACTACCAATATCAATATTGCACGCACTACCAGATCTCATATTGTATGAACATGAAATACACCATTTGGGGTTCTTGATAGTGATAAAGAACTACTGTCGACATTATTACTTTCCCAGCGACGTCTTTTTATTTTATTTGTGCTTTTGGTTGCAGAGATAATTTTACATATCATCAAGATTTCTCTTAACTAAAAAAATATTTAGTACCGATATCTATCTAAGAAATTTTGAACTAATATTTAATGCTAAAATAGTTACCCTAGAAGAACGTCATCACTTTGATGACATGGTTGTGCCTGTCCGTTTCTTTTTTCTGAATATTATAAATTTTTAGTCAATGTTCTTCGTTTGCTGCATCTTTATTAGTTTCCGAAGGTTCATCACTATAATAGGCTCTATCCTTCATTATTTTTTTGATATCTCTTAATACTTGATTTTTTGAAATATTGACAAGAAGAAGGTTATTAAAATATTCATTATTGGTTTCTTGAAGTTGGTTAAACCTTTTCTTTTGTTGTTTAACTTTCTATAAATTATATAATTAAAAAATATATAAGGCAGTATCAATATTTATATAAATTAATATATTCATTCTAAAAAAAAAACAGCTTACAGATTCCATTCTTCTGTTCTCGCATATTCTTGCACGATTTTGACTATCAGACTCTGGGTTTTGTTGCTTGAGATATTTTTTTCTTTGATTCTTGTGCCTTTCCTTTATTATTTTTAAAAATATAGTAGTCTTCTACCTGATATCTTGCCACATCAGGTTTTACTGTTTTAAACATATTTCAGAGAAAAACATCTTTAAAACCAACCCAACATTTAGAAGGATCAGATTGATTTGATTGTTCGAGCCCAGATAGTATTATTCTACAATAATAAATTCGAACAAATAGATAGATCATTAATATAAAATACCGATATCTATATAGATTAAATTAAATATTATAATTGCCAATATCTATTTAGCAAATTAAAAAACTACTATTTTTTATACAATAATACATACTCTTAATAATTTTTTTATATCGTCAGAAAGCGCTCGGGGCCTTTTTGTAACCCTACGCTTTTTACAATCCTTCTGTTGCTGTTGTAATTGTTGTTGCTATTGTAATTGCTGTTGTTGCTATTGCAATTGCTATTGTTACTGTCACTATTACTATCGATATCGGTATTGGTATTAATAGAACATGCTCTTTTTTTCATAAACTTATCAAGTTTTTCTCCCAGATTTTTAATTTCATTTTTTAGTTCTTTTATACCATCATCTACAAACCAAAAAAAAAAAGTCATAGTAAAAAAAAAAAAAAAAGTCTCTGTAGATGATAAACTGATATGTATATAGATAAAATCACACCTAACATGCATATATGCTACAAATATATATACAAATGCAATATCATTAATTTATTACCTCTTTTATTTGATTTTTTGATTTCTTTATTTTTTTTATTTTTGCTTCTTTCGACAGTTACTGATAAACAAAAAACACTTGAAGATAACCAAGACATACTACATGAAAGACTCATATTTGATAATGATGATATGAAGACTTTTGTATTTTGAAGTGATATAGTAAGTGCTTCTTGTATATAAGAAAAAAAAATAGAAACTTTTTTTTTTTATTACCTTTGGATAGAAATAGAGAAAAGTGTATTATACAAGTATCACAGTGTTTTTTTTTTTGTTTATTATATAGCATCAAAACAAAGCATATACTATCATTTGTATAAGCTTTGGGATTTTAAATTTTAGAATACAATACCTAAGAATTCAAATATACTAAACTAGGTAAATTATAAATTTTAAAATTCTGAATTGATTTTCACTTGGTAAAATATAATTCTATATAGATATCGGGATATTTAAGTTTTCTTTATTATAAATTTATAGATCACTAATTATATTATTTTATATTACTAGTAAACAGAAACCATTGTAAGACTGGAGCAAAAAATCACATACTAGATCAATAATTTGCTTTAAATAAACCTAGTTTTGGTTTAAATAAATCCAATTTTGGTTCAAATAAACCTGGTTCTAGTTTTTGAACTAGGTTTTGTTTAGTTTTGGGTTCAAATAAACCTAATTTTGGGTCAGTTTGGTTCAAAGAAACCTATCTATAAATTTTATATTTGTGTAATATTACATAATATTAGTTTTGTGTGACTGAAAATTATTTTTGTAAAAACAATACACTAAGCTTTTGTGTAATATACTTAACATACTTGCATATTTTTGCCCAATCATATTATAGTAAAAAATATATATAGTTTGTTATGTTACACAATATACAAGTGGAAACAGACAGAAATTTTAAAGTATATCAGAAACAATACTTTTAAGGCATTAAAAAGATAACTTTTGTATCACTTTACCTAGAAATTAGAGTCCTTCGCTACACTCTAGACAATTATAGATATAGGGATTATTTATTTATATTAGATATTAAATATTTTATTCATAAGGCATTTATTAATTTAATCGAATTTAATTTGAAATCAATATCAGGATACTATTACTGATTAACTAGACCAATTAATTTCATTAATTAATTAATTTTATTAATTAATTAATTTTATTATTATTATTATTAAAAATATAAATATGGTTATATTAGATATAATTTAGAAGT